AGGGGAGAAATACAAATTGTTGATCGATAAAGCAATCTTTCAGGCCAGCAGATAAATAGTCGCAGACTAAACTTTCGAACACTTTAGGAATACAGCTCAGGATACTAATGGGCCTTTAATTTTGACTTGCGAGTTATCGCAGGATTTTAGGATAGGGGTAATGAAGCTTGATTTCCGGTAAGTTGGAAAGGTTCCCGTTTTTAAAGATTGGTTATATAATAATATAATATAATATAATATAAAGTATGAAGCAGCTGCGTAAATAGATGAAATCGAAATGTTCAAGTGTGAAAGGCTGACGTCTCCAGAAGAGACACAGTTCTTGTCACTATACATGTTCGAAAAATAAATTGCAAATAAATTGACAATATCTTCACAGATCAGATTACGTCGCCCAAGTGCACAACCGATGGAATAAAGTTTCTTTCCATTTTACTGTTAACAAACTTCCAAAAATTCTTAACGTTTTCTTTTAAGGACGATTCAGTCGGAGATATGTATTCAATATATCGTTTATTTCTTCTTCTCAATAATTGTATCTTTAAGCTCTGGCGAAAACCAAGCTGGAGACTTCTTAGCCGAAAATTTGCCTCGTGCCATTGGAACTGCGACAAAAACTCAGTCACTGGACCCAAATTCATTGAATTAAAATCTCTATAAAGGCCGTTACCCCTTGGACCAGAACTGTTGAAAGGTACTGAATCACATGTTAGTGTGCTTTTTCTAAATCTTCCTAAAACAGTCCCTACTTGAGGTAGCTCGATTTCCAGTTGAATTTGCACATTAGATGGGTTGATCTCCTATACTGAAAACACATTAGAAAGCTTAAACTGATTGACAATGTAAGGGTGTAACATAATGAATCTAAAATGTTTTCCTAGGAAAGCAATACAAAATTTTATGTAGATAATTGATTTATAACGGATGTTTTGGTTAGTTTGCTATTGTTTGGTTTCTGGAGGTTGGTGAAATCGGAATATGCTGTCGGTTTTTTAAAACACTATTTTCTTAGCCGTCGAAGCTTTGTATTCCCTCTTGTGTTTGTAATTAGTAATTACCAACTTACTGTTATTCAATTATTTTGCAATACTCAGCGTGCCATTTTTATTGAGCTGCTATATACTATAAACTAACCTTATTGAATTTTGTTAATCACTTGCGATGTTCAGCGACGAAGAAGTTGAGATTGCGGTCGATAACGTTATAATCTTGAACTGAGGTGGCTTTTACTTGATGAAAATCCATTTATTAAAATAAATAAGAACTAAAAGTTCAGATTTTCACGGAATTATATATTATGACATGACAATTGTTTCGACAACACCGTGTCTTTATCAAATGTGATTGATAAAGACGGTGTTGTCGAAACAATTGTCATGTCATAATATATAATTTCGTGAAAATCTGAACTTTTAGTTCTTATTTATTTTGAACGTTATAATCGTTGTTGATGAACATCCGTCAAATTCGAATGGATCAAAGACTCGGACGCATTTTTCGGTTGCTGCCAAAATTATAATTTTAAATGTTTCTGTTTCTGAAATCAACATCTGGGGAAAGTGGAGCCATAAAATTAACGTCTGAGATGACTAACACACCGCATACCACAGTACGTGACATAGTTGTGAACGGTGTCCAAGAAAGAAAAACGCGGAAAGATCGTGGGGTCCCAAATAATCAGCCGGTTGATATATGATGCGTATCAGAAGAATATTGTTTTAAAAATTAAAACTTTACATGAAGAGTTGCGTAGTATCTTGAACATTGACAGTATTTGTTTGTTGTATTGTACCCAAGTCCGGTTTTGTAACGTCATTGTGGAATTGCGAATCGATTTATCGAGGGCTACAAAGAGAAACCCAAGCGCGGTAGATCAAAAAGTTTTATTAAAGTTAATTAGCGGATTATATTGTAAAAACGGTATATCGTTAGGCGAACTATACTTAATTTCACTTCGATGTTTTGGATGAAATTTTACCTCGTACAATGGATGTTTTTTCCGCTATCGATTTTCAAAGATGCCGCAAAGTCGTCGCCTGATGTCTCTCTCCGGCGTAGTCAAGGGTATTAGTCTTTCATTAAGTCTTTTGTTTTCTCCTCTGTTGCTGTCGTTTATTGCTCGGGATCCTACGTGCTTAGGTTAATCTAGCGGAACGAAATGTTTCGGGGATTGCAATTATTCGGAGTGGCAGGCTTTTAGATTTGCCTAAGGTTTCCGAGGTTTTAGACCAGTTCGAGGATAATCCAGTTTCGCGTATTGTTTTTGCCTTTCGTCGTAATCGCACGCGACATTGAGGAGATTTTCGAATATCGACTAACCAGTTAAACGGAAGATTGTCAACGTTTTCCCTTTTTCTAGCCGTAGGATCTGGAAGAAATTGAACGTTCGCTGTTTGTTCGAGTTATGCCATTAGCATAAAGGTTTTTTACAGTAGATATTACGTCAATTTAATGGACTTCTGAACTTACGTGATTTAACTATACAGAATGTTATTGAATAAGTGTCCGATATTTCGCAGGGTGATTTTTCGAGAATTTTTAAGGATGCCGGTTTCTGAACGAAAAATGGGATTTCCGATTTCATAGATTCAAATTCACATTTAAAGGCTCACGACTTTTTGTGCTCGCCTAAAACTTACCACTACACTACACATTTAAAATTAGCTAACATTAAAAAAGTTGTCGATAAGATCCGGTTGAAACATGTTCTGGAAATCCTAGAAACCCTAATTTGACGACTATGTGACTCATTAAGTCTTGTTTAATCTCGTAATGAACGAAAATATACACCTTAAAATACTCCAGGGCTACACAATAGGAAATGAAACATTAATATCGTCGGCGACTCAGCTCTAGTGAAGACGATCTCCAAATGCTTCTACATGAATTTGTATTATCCTGTGAGAAATTCCAGCTTAAGATGTCTTCGAACAAGACCAAATCTTTTACGATAATTAAAACTACCTCGGTGTCCACAGAACAGTCACCAAGAACATCCGAGAAGTTAGACTTTAAACTATTAAGGCAATATCTGGGTGTCTCAACGATGTGTTCTGGCAACAGAAAGAGCGTGGTGCGGCTAATACTGACATACGCAACCGAAACTAGAGCTGGCACCACAAAAACAACATATATGATTTATGTCTGCGAAATGAAAACATTGAGACGAATCTTGGGTAACATGAGGCTGAGCAGAATTAAGAATGAAGATTTCAGGGATAAGCGCAAGCTTCAGAATGTTAGCTCATAGGTCGAAAGGAAAAGAGTAGAGTGTAGTGTATACCGGTTGGTCGGGCAGATTCATGACAACGTCCCTTTAAGAAAGAGAAGTCGTGGCCAACCAAGAAAGATGTGAAAGGACTGTCTCAATTAAACAGATCCTGACCATATTAATAATAACAAGACTTTTTTACGATCCTGTGAATCGTTTTCGCCTTTGACCTATTTTATATGAAAGAGGTCGCCTTGTTAAATGTCGCTTGCAGCAATCGTTTACGAAATATTTTTCATTGAAGTTATTAAAAAAGTGAAATGATTCTAACAAGGAAAAAAGATCATGTAGACTAGATTTTTTCTACATAATGACATTGTGTGTGTTTGTATTTTTTACACGAGGAGACAACCAAATCGTATGTATCTAGTATTTATGAAAGCCTATTTTGGTTTACTCTGAACCCACAAATAATCAGTTAGAATGCACCCGTAAACACGATCAAAATTTTAAATCCCCAATTGCTATGCAATTTTAACCATTATATGCAGAAATTGATGTAGCTTTTGAAATGACTGTTCTAATTCATTAACAACAACTTTCAATCCTGATAGATCTTACCCGAATTAAAGGTTTTAGAGTGACGTTAAGGGCAAATTAATATCAATATTATAATAATGTCCAACTATTACTCCTTTAAGGGTGATTAAAGGTGAAAGGTGAACCTGTTAAAACCGGAATATTTTACATATGCTTTTATCGAAATGCGCCTCATAAGAATGGGTCTCAGCTGTATCTCTAGAAATATTAGCCGTACAGCTCTCGCAAAAAAAATATTTATCACCAAAGAGATCATGTGAACATGCTAGAAATTATTTTCATGTTTCCAAACTCATTAGACTATAGCGAATAAGAAACTAGGATTTTTTAAAAATTTACTGGTACTGGTAACTTTAGCAAGTTTCTGATATTTTTGTCTCCACCGCTTTGCCCTTTCGACTAAAAGAAAGTAGTGGTAGAAGAACTGTTTTTAATTTAAACTCGGAAGTAGAATAGAAATAGAAGTTATGGGTCCAATGGAGATTCGGATAGGCCATACCATCCGTATCTACGGTTCCTTCCTTTCGTGTACTTGCGTAACTAAGACAAACGATAAAAGGAACGTTCCTTACTTAAAAACTTATCAGATTCATTTGATACCATGCGCTGAGTTATAACCTGACAATAGTATATTATGCAACAAGTGCGGTAAACGGCATTTGACTCACGAGTTTATTTGACACGAGCGGAGCTAGTGTTTAATAAACGAGTAACTTAAGAAGTTTACCGAACGTGTTGCATATTATACTTTCTCTACGACCGTTAGTTTTTGGGTACATTTTCGCAAAACAACACGAATACATTCACTGACATGATTGTCAGAATTGACAAACGTCAAAATTCAAAGCGTGGGAAATATCTCCGAAAACATCCGATTGCTCCCAAACCCATGCGGTAAAATCCCGGAAATGTCCGAAGTGGCTCGGATTCGTGGGAAACGAAACTGACGTGGTAAAGTGACGCTTCCGCACGCTAGATCGATGGGTAATTAGGTATTTTACAGACGAGAGTAGAAAACGTTTTTTTCAAACGTAATTTTTGTGGCATGTGTCCATCAGTTAAGCACAGAGCAAATTAACTTAAATTTGTTGTTTACTAATGGATAAGTATATAAAGTGATGTTTCCTTTTTTAGATACCCGATTTTCCGAATGACATAGGATAGAATAAAGTCAGTCGGTGCACTTTTTAAGACGTATATTTGAGTCATACAGTTTTATAAGTGATAATCCTTATGTACAAAAGTAAGAAACCGCGTTTGGTTTAGTAGACGGTCTCAGATTAGTGTAGTATGCTTCTAGATTTAAACCACAGAACTCACAGAACTGTCAAAGTGTCGTATAATATGTAGTATAGCAAGAAACTATGGAGAAAACAAATGCAAAATTAAAGTTTCTTTTTTGAATTGTGCGTTCCTTAAGATGGCCTAATTGTTTGCCACTACTAAGCCGTTTGTATTTCAATTTCTTTGCAGTTTTGCAGGACCAATTTATTAAAGGCGATTTTCGATTAGCGACGAAATTTAAGCGAAATCGCGTAATTGAAATTTAAAATGAAATAAAAACGGCGCCCGTTGAAATCAATTTATTTGCTGAAATTTCAACTTGAGAGGGTTTTTATATTCTGACTCGGATTTATTTTAGTTCGTTGGTCGATAGTTCCAAGGGCAAATAAAATTTCTAGCAAGAAAAAAAATTAATAAAGCATTTTTCGCCATCCGGAACATATTTCTTGTTAGAAAGATTTCAAAGTTCTACAAGTTAGCGACTTGAATAGTTCTGCGACTACAAAAGGCAGCAACACGGAATCGTTAATATTAAATTTGAAAATGCCCGTCTTCAGATTTTAGAATGAAGAAGTTTAAAAGGAGACCAAGAATGGAAACGGATCAAGTTTTAAGTGGGAAAACGATTCGGATTTTTTAATCCGAAAAGAGACATGAAGATCGTAAAGAATTTTATAACATTTTAAATTCCTATCTAATAAATCGCTCCAAATTTGGACGTTATTTTTACACCAATAGAGCAGACTAAATGTCATTGCTCTTATTTGTATGTGCCATTTTCTATTTCTGAAACCTTATTACAGATTTAAAAAAATCGTTTAACATACACAATGAGGTAAATGTGAAAAAAATACTTATGATATACTTATGACAGATGTCATCATGATATAGGATGAAGAAATATATTAGTAAGCGGCCACAAATGCAACTTCTATTGCCGCGACGTCAAATAGCATAATTTTTTGTACGACTCTCATACTCAAGCTCAAGCTCCATCTGGTATACCAAAATTTTTATATATAATGATTCCTCAAAAAAATTCTTTATGAAAAACACGCTCGCCTGACCATTATCTATAGTGTATCTTAGATTCTTGAGAACTATTGAAACAAGAGCTCTCAATAGGCAGATGGGAATCCACGTGCAAAAATAGCGAAAGAGGAAATGGCGAATACCAGCGGAACTCCGACAAAGCCACCAAAACTCTGGCATGAGAGTTTAGTCGTCAGAAGAAGAAAAGAAGATTGAATTACTTGAATATTTAGATATTTTCTCAGTCGCCTGTATCTCGATAGTGCAATCATATATTAAGACGATTTCTTTGGGAAAAACATTTTTTAGTTATAACCTCATATTCCGTATGCCATTAATTAATGTTATTTTTTCTCTTTATTTTTCTAAATATAAATTTTAAAAGTTTTTTCTCAGGTGCGACAGTTATCAGTTATTGTTGATATCACGATGTCAAAGTTCAAAACATCAGTTGCGTCATATGAAAGTAATCCAATAATATCAAAGTTCTCAAGATTTCTAGATTGGGAGAGTTAGTAGTTAGCCTGTCCGTCAGTGTGATCCAAAAAATCCATTTTTTGATAACCGCCTTTACGAAGGTTTAGGCACCCACAAAAGGCTTCAGGTTCATTCATTAACGAGCCTTTGCGGGTCATTTCTTCTTCGCTTTCATTACATTGGTGGCTTTGGTGGCATTGGTCTGAAGATACCTATAGCGGACAGCGAATTTGAAATGCACGGTACCTTATTTTTAAAACCTTTTTAAAAGCATCTACTAAATTGTTTACTTGGTTTTATCATTCTACTAAAAGCTTTTTTTTATTACTGACTTTGCAAAGATTCAGGCACCCCGCTAAAGGCTTCTGATTCATTCATGCGCCTTAACGAGCCTTTGCGGGTCATTTCTTCTTCGCTTTCATTACAACGGTGGCTTGAGGGCCTTGGTCTGAAGATTCCGTGTAGGATACCTTATTTTTAAATCCTTTTTTAATAAAACTATCTACTAAATTGTTTACTTCGTTTTATCACCGTACTAAAAGTAATTTTGAGCTTGTTCTTCTGTAATAAATAATTAGGAGAACAATAATAAAAGAGCTAATTGAGCGATGTACTGAAAATTATACGCTGTGACGTCACCGGACTTGGCGCACTTTGAATATAATTTCCCTAGCGCGAGACACTGTAAATAATTATGACCAAGTAGTTTTTGATTTTTTAAGGCAGCGGTCGCCAACCTGCCGATCGCGAGCTACCGGTAACTCGCGGAGGCAATTCTGGTAGCTCTCACAACGATTTTAATTTTAAAAATACAAACTGCAAAAATCAGAGAAGCTTCAACATTCTACAAAAAAATCTAATTGTCATAATATTAAACATAAACAATTCCACAAAAAATCCAAAATTAAAAAAGTACCTCAATACATTGAAGAGGTTGGCGACCACTTTTTTAAGGAATAATGGGGGGAATAAGTTTCTTAGAGCTAAATAAATAATGTTTTTGATGAAAAAATGGAAAAGTTCACTATTGGCGCAAAAAGTGTTTATTGCTGAACGCTGTAGGCCAAAACTTAACGTACACAAACCTAAACATAAACAAAACAATGATTATTCCTAATATGATATTCATTTTTGTACTTAACGGTAGCTTTTTGGTTGTTAATGTTTAGTTCTCGGTCTCGATCCGATTCAATATTTAGCGGTTAAGTGTTGGTCCTCTTTTCTTTTAAAAGAGTGGTTTCCCTTACGTTAAAAATTTTTCTACTTTTTATTTTCAGTAAAATCGACTACTGGAATAGAAAAATTTCCACAAAACACAGTGAACATCAAACACCTAAATGTAAATATGATCAGCCTTTCTGTTATCACAAAAAAATATCGCGTTCAAATTAACATTGCTTAAAATATATCAAAAGTAATAACCACTTAACTTCATTAGTTACTTATTAAAAAAAACTAAATCTAAATTATTAATAAATAACAATAATCGTTTTCGGTATACAAACGCGTATAGGATAAAACCGGATTGGTATATTAAGAGGAATACTAGTGGGAAATATAATATACCTTTTGATCTAATGGGACTAGGGATACAGGTGCCCTAAACTCGGTGGCCTATTAAAAGTTTATGGACAATGTCAAAAGGTGGGTATTTAAAAGTTTTATTGAGGCCGTAGGCTATAATCTCTATTTTGAAAATGTAGCTTATGTTATCTTAAAGTTAGCTGCTAGAAAATTTGGAAGAAAATATCTATTATAAAAACATGTAAGTTATGTTGATTGGCATATTGATGCCAAAATATTTATTAATTACTATTGCAAAAAAATTTATTTACTATCAAGGACAATTATGCGTACTGTATATTAGAAACATATAACTTTAATAAGTAAATTGTTTAAAGTATCTTTTTATTCCAAAACGATTAAAAATGGGTGAATAGTAATTTTAAATCTAGAATTAATTGCTCTTTCTATTGTCACAATTAAATACAGGGATTCTATTGCACAAAAGTTATAATTGTATGTTTTGCTATCTTTCAGATTCTTAAAATAGTTTAAAAAAAAAAAAGAGTTCCACAGCCTTTCTGTCATGGCCGCAACCAAATGTCTCCATATACTTTCAAATAGGCTATAAAGTTTATGGGATTCTTTAAATTGATATTGATACTAAACATATGTTAGAATAATGTGATTTCTTTTTCTATGTACATAAATTTTTACTAAAATCCCGCGGGAAAAAAATATGTAGTCGTAGACAATGCGAATTTCGCTAGCAACGATATAGAGCCAAAGTTAAATATAGCGAATAGATATTGATCCCTCTACTTCTGTATGTATCCGACACTATCATGATGTACGAGAACTTTTTATATCAGGAACTGGTAATAACCATCGTGATGTCGGCGACACACAAAACGTAGGTAGATGGCATATTTTTACGTGTATAAAAGTTGTTGAGTATTCCAACGGCTCTCTTACTAAAAATAAATGTCTGCTGGTCTACTAGAAGTATAGAAAGCTAATTATCTCGCGAAATGTTTCGGTAAGGTGAATAATGCGAAATGACGGCAGTTTTGAATCATCGAATTGTCGGTTTGGCTGTTGATTCGGTTAATTAACCGGTGTTGTAGCTATTCGAAACGGTTTAATTGGGTTCCGAATTAACAACGTTTAAATTACAGTTCTCCGACAGATTACCTTTAATTTCCAGAATTGTTTACGCGATTACCCATACGTACGCATCAATCTCATGCATAATTTGATTTTATTATGTTTCCTTAATTGTCCCCTTAACGCTAAAACTCTTGTTGTATTTTATGGTTGTTTAAAAAGAGATATTTAGTTCGTAAGATATTTTAAAGAAATTTTCAAAATTTGTTGCATCTGAAACTTTGAGGTTGTCGATTAACATGTGTGATTAGGGACATATATGGATTGTGTTTTGTGCCTTATAATGTGAATATAACTTATTTCGTCGTAGCATTAAATATGTGAAATTCTACCTTTAAAAGTAGATAACTGAAAACCACAACTTAAGTTACCTAGTTCGGGTTAGATCAAGGAGAACGGTATATACTGTTTATGGAATATATGCAAAATTTTTATTTTTAGTTTTATTAAAAAAGTTGTTTTTTATAACCATCAGATATAAAATATCTTAAATCAGCTCTGTCTAAAAACGTGCAGTTCGTGCAACCGTAAAGTAATTTTATTTTTGAATTTATCTACAGTGGTTTAAGAGAAATTGACCATACCTGAAAACTGTAGTCAAATCCACGCTAAAAAAATAATTTTCGATATAAATTACTTCATTTAAAAAAATAATAGATAACCTTTCGCATCATTATTACGTTATGCAACAACAGTCTATTGCGTTTGAATAGTAATAATAGCATTTTTATGTTGTCAATGAAATTTAAATTTCCTCTTCACAAATTAATAGAACCCTTATCTGTTTATCATTACATTACAATGCCGCTACAGAGAAGTTTATAAAAGTGTCAGATGGATAATACTGGATATTCGCCAAGTTTTTAATTATGATCAACTTCTCGTCATTATTTTCAAAAATAAAAGTGTTCTACTTCTGAATAAAATTCGTATTTTTCGACCAAAATCAATAACAAATTTAAAGTCTTTAATCATTTAGAACTTATGAAGAATAACTTTTTTCGTAAAGTCAAAAATAAGTTAGTTTCCATATGGTGCCGACTTAGTTGGAGATATTGTGTGTTTATGTTCTCCTTGAAGTTGCGTATCGAAACTAACGCTTTCCGAGATAAATTTAAATGGACACATTGTACAATAGGATGTTCAGATGCTGCAGACAATTTCGCATTTTTCTCTTTATTTACAGCCGTTTTTCTTGAAGTTTACTTCAAGAGATATTTCGAAACAAATCTCACAATTTCATTGCCACTCGTTGCTTTTCAGTTGAATTATAAAATAATGAATAACACTTTTAAGTTTTCCGTAAAAATACAGAAAAATAAATCATCGAAAATATTCTTTTCTAAGACAAAGAAGGTAAACGTGTAGTATAGTTTTGGTTAGTTAAACAACTAAACTGTGAATTTATAAATTTTCTTTTCGAAAGCCAAAATGGCCTTAAAAAGTTTGGATTATTGCAAATACGACGAAGGATGCACGCATAAAATTGCAAATATTATTAACTGTCCACTATTGATTGTCCATCTTAAAAGAACCGACACACACTTATAAACAACTACAAACACTAAAACGCAGTGAAAAGCGATCGGTGAAAAATAACTTTTCCACAAAGAAGTATGTTTGGCATTAAAGGGATGTTTTTACAATACTTAGTCATTAAATATATGTACATTGAAAATGTATAAACGTTAAAAATCACAGTGCAATTTCCATAAAGTGCATATCTCGAGAATACGTTTTTGTTTGTAAATACTTTGATTAAATGCACATCAGATATGCTTTAAATTTTCTCGTAGGAAAGTTAAGCGAAAACTATTAACAATACATCGAAAACCTTGGGCGTGCATTTCTAAGAGAAAATATTCTCCTCTACAACGAACGAAAATGCCTTGTAAATGGAGGAACCTTCTATCTATGTGCCCTGCAGCAGAAACACGACGTATTCACGCTCCTTATCGATTTTTACCGTATAAGAAACCTAAACATGGAGAAAACGCGACGCTACTGCATATTTCACGATTTCGCCATGGCTTTTGTCCACATCTTTCAAATAAATATTATTTCTTCGGCAATTGCGACTCTGAAACACAGACAAACAGGACACTTTTTCGAGTTTTTCGACTGCTATTCAACTAAAACCTTTTTTTATGCCTGCCAAATTATTGAAAGATTTTTCGATTCAGAGAAGACTTGGACGCACTAGTCTTTGCCTATTCTTGTGTATTAATTGAATTACTGTCTAATAGTTTGATACATATGGACATGTAAATTCAATAATTAAAGTTCTAATTTCTTAATTTCAAATACAAAAGACTTTGACTTCCAGAAGTATTTAAAGTAGTCTTAGAAATAGTTGCGTCCTTATCCATTTAAATTAGCTTAACGTGTTTGATAGATCTTGTTTTGTTTTCAAAGTTGCTAAGCACAAACTCCATTCCTATTTATATCAGAAACTCTTCTAGAGTTGCATCTTAGAGAAATTTTTACCTGCATTATGTAAGTAATGATTCCTTTTTCCCAGATTATGTACCTACTCACACAGTCACCATCTAATTGAGCTTTAAACATTCTTTTTTTATTGCTTAAGTGTGCAGGTTTCGGAAGTGGAATCAGTAGAACTCAAATTGTTCCATGGCCTACGCACACCCCAAAATTTGAGTTTGAGTTTAAATAACTGAAAAACAGTATACTGCTTATTTGCTATCGCGTCAAAAAGTCTTCCAAGAACGGCTTTCATCCTAATAATAAAGCAGATGGCAAATACCTTCAAAGGTTTCGAAAAGTGGACAATCTGTAAGTCAACTCGTCACAATCGCATACTAAATTAAAAAAAATCTCGACAGGGTTCGTAGAAAATTTCAGTTACAGAATGGAACGTGAGGATTAATAAATACATCAAACGTCAATAATAAATATTCTACGTGCTATGTTGCGGTATGGCAATTAAAAAACAACCGGCGAAATAAGCAAACCGACATTACATAGGCTCGAAGGTTACTTGAGCTTTCATCCCTTATATTTATCGTAACGTATAAAACATTGGTCGAACTGCTGCGTTCCATGCTTCAGTCCTAATATTGCCTCGAGTTGAAGCTGAACTGTCTACCGTTAGCGATTAGTTCTCTAGTTTCGGTCGGGCTTCCAGGACTCACGCTAGCGGTGGTGGTAGTTGAAACGGTTTCCTTCAATTCCAAGACCCTGACCTCTTCGAATCTCTCTATCGAATCCTCTTCCAAAATTTTCTCCAACTGAGCGTCCCCGTTCAAAGCATTTTGGGGGGCGTTCTTGTTATGAGGGGAATGTACCGATACCATCTCGCCGTTAGCCTTATCCTCCCTTTGTTTTTCTAAAAGCCGCCGATGGTGCTTGGTGGTGAGACAACCGGTTTCCACATCTCTTTCTAGCCTGTGGCCGCTTCTAGACCTAGTAAGTTGACTCCTGACGTAATCCTGGAGCTCTTGTTCCTCCTTTCGGCTCACTATTTTGTTCAGAACGATCAGAAACAATCCTACGACGGTGACGAATATACCTGTCATCGTCAATTCGTTCCACCATCCACCGGTCTTCCAAGAGAGTAAATCGTCTGGAAGAAGGCCGGAGCCTATCAAAAACAACCCCAGCACCAAAAAGCAGACCCCAATATGTAATAGGCCTATCGAGGTGACCTGATAGGATTCCGTATTGTTGAAACTAGACCTCTTGGTCGGCAGATGTTCCATACTATCCATGCTATTTGTCTTCGACGACAGTCTTCTCTCGGCTGCTCGTCTTTTGGCCACCTCGCGCTGCCTTCTTTGGCGTTTAATGGCCATGGCCGAGTGCAGACCCGCTGACCCGTGCATCTGGAATCCAAGGGAGAGAGATCAGTCAGTTGGTGGGTCTTGGAATTGAGTGTGAACGAATATTCAAAACTGGCATGCGTTTGGCACAAACACTGCACACAGCACTCCACTGTACACAATGTGTGTCAAGATTCAGGCACTCATCGGCAAAAATAACGGTCCCGCGTTTTTGTGGGCATTTCATCTAAAACAACATTCATAAAAACATAATTAAAAATGATATTCATAAAAACATAATTAAAAATGATAGAATCGCAATTTGTAGTCGGAAAATTGTCTACAAAGTGGCCGCACAGTTTCGAGAGCTCCCCAGGTTTTTTTTTAAACAACGCAACAAAGCAACATGGCATGCGAAGTGTTATCTAAAAAAAAACGATTAAATAAATGGTACAGCGATTGAAGTTGCCACGTCCGTTCGAAGTTTAGAAGTCTTGATTTACTATTATCTACGTTTTAAACAACAAATAGGACACTGTTTACTAAGGGCTTCTCTGGAACTGTTCTATCTCCTAACGTTTTGTCTAAAATCATTAAAATTATGCTAACGGAATCTGATCCGTGGTGTTGAGTCGGTGTTTTAGCTACCTGGATGAGTTTGGTGCTAACAAGCTCAAAAGGGCCCAAACACAGTTCACTTCTTTGGGGGAAAAGTAACTAGGAACCAATATCCTATAAATTAGAAGAAGCCTTAATTTACATCATTAATATTTTTTCGGGGATATTTTCAGAGATATTACCGCACGGTTATGTCAGTGAACGTATTCGTGTTATTATACAAAAATGTACCCAAAAACTGGCGGTCATAGAAAAAGTATAGTACACGTTTGATAAAGTTTTGAAGTCATTTGCCCCGCTCGTGCCAAATAAACTCGTGACTAAAGTCTACCGTTTATCACACTTTTTGCATAATATACTTTGTATATTTAGCAACTGAAAGTTAAATGATTCGACAAAGTTTCTAAAACTAAATTGATGTGTAAACTGCTTTACCGTTTGTTTTAATTAAGTTTTATATCTAATTATAATCCAGACCGGTGACCTTTGACCTTTCTTCAGCAGTACTTTAATCGCCAGAGGATATCAAAGTCATTAATTACGACACATATTTGGATAATGTGTTTAAATTTCGATGTAATTTCAGGTTCATATTCTCCTAATTAGTTCCGCCGAACGCATATGTGCCTGAAATGTTTTAGGCAATTACATTCTAGTTGTGATTTTAACACGAACTGATGTTGCAACAGAACGTTCACTCTCCCATTTACATTTACACGGCAATAAAGCGCTTCTATGAACCTCAATATTAAATAGAAGAAACTATTTTTACCATTATTCAAGTTATCTTCGAATAATTTATAATCTAGGTCTTAATCTTGATGTTAGAAGAAGAAAGAGACAAAAACTTATCTTTTGGATTATAAATCTAAAGTATCTTTCAAAATTCAATATTATTATCACCAATTAAGTCGGAAGTAAGCAAAAGTGTTTTGCAAAACATTTCAATCAAATGCACGAATCAAATAGATCATACCTTTAAGCATCTATTGCTACGTATTGTGGAGATTAAAAAAGTTTGTTTCTGAAATCTTTTATGTTTATATTATTTTGCATTCAGGCGTGCTATATGAAAAATATTTTCAATTTTCAATTTTTTTTCAAGTTCTGGTGAATTTAAATATGTACTGTGAAGTTATTAAACTGAATTTTATGAATTGTTTTTTTTATTTATCATTTTAATATGTTGTATGTGTGTATTTTTATTTTCAATTGTTTTATATTTATATGCTTTCGATTTGCTATTTTGCTCTATTCTATTTCAAATTGCAGAAGCGAATTCTAAGGTCAATGGTTGTTAAACCTTGATTTTTTTCATGTCTTCAGCTCTTGCATGTCAAGTCGTGTCAAGTATTTTTATTTTTATCTGCAGAACAGTAATTAGTATTGAAAAAAACACAATATAAAATGTTTTAAAAATCAAATTTTATGCTACAAAAGTCAATAGTCCATAATTCATAATTATTCTATTTTTCTTTTTATATAGTCTACGAGGGCTAACTTTTATATTTCCGGATTTGTAATAAAAAACTATAAGCCACCAACAAATATGATTTTATTGTTTCTCAAAATATTCACCCTGATGATCAATACACTTTTGCATTCGACAAAACCAATCATCAAACCACATCGATTCGGGCACTTGCAAAACATGCTTTTTAAACGCATCGATCGCTTCTTCTAGTGTCAAAAATCGTTACCCGCGTAATTTATTCTTAATGTATGGGAATGAAAAGAAGTCATTAGGTGCTAAATGAGGACTATATGGTGGATGGCTCATCAAATGAACGTTTTTAATGCCCAAAAAGTTCTTTGTTTGCACTGATCGGTGAAAGCTAGCATTGTCGTCGTGTAGAGTAATTCGTCTTCGGCGGTTGGTTTTCCTAATTTCTTCTTTCCACCAAAATTTTTTTAGCGGCGAAATGTACATGCAAATTTGTATGTATACCCACTAATACCCAAAGATCTCATGGTAAGTCACATGACGATCCAGCAAAATCAGTAGCCGCACTACATCAATGTTTGTTTGGACAACCACCGATTTTGGACGACCTTCACGAAATTCGTCCTTAAGAAAAATACAACCACCACTGAAGTCCGAAAACCAGCGATAAACAGTAGTCCTAGATGATGCTTTAACTCCAACAGTCGAAAGTTCATCGACACATTATTGTTGAGTCTAAAGATGTAAAAAATGATTGCACGAAAATGCTCCCGATTAAGTTGTATTTTTAACAGTCGCATTTTTTAAAGTTTATCACAAAAATCACAAACAACACTGTTTCGCCAAAACCTAACCTAAAAATGTTAAACTTCCCTATGAAAACGTTAGTAGCCAAATTTCTGCAGGTCTAGTTTAAGAAAAGTCCGAAATATAAAAGGCAGCCCTTGTATTAATTATTTAAGATATTAGAATTTTAATAATTAGTTTACATTTTTATCAACTTAAGATGAAAAAAATTCCTAGTCATAAATGGTCTCTTGTGGCCCTATTATTAAAGGGTTACACTGTGAAAATAACGCATAAATGAGTTTTTAGTTAATAGTTTATTATAAAACTTGAAACCATTTTTGTTTTATTCTAGGTATTCATATTTCTATTTCGACGGCAATAAATTCTTTTCCAGTTTAAATTTTGAAGATATTTTATTCTAAATGTGCGTGCCCTGCTTAACCCAACGATTTTTCAGTTAAAACAATCTCCACCGCACATACTTCTGTGAAATAAATGACCTGTAGTTTTTAATAGAAACTCGCAATTTAAATAACACTTGATTGTAAAAAAAACGCTAAAACGATTATCAAGTAAAGAAAAACACGCCGTATGGCGTGTCACACATGCATACACGCAATTTTGCATGTTCGCGTCGACGAAGATCGAGCGACTATTATGCGCGGTGCCCTTTGTCTTATTAGCCCACATATTCCACCAATAATCAGTCCATGGCTTATAATCATGTCAACCCCAATTACCGCGATCTTGTGATCGTTTACTATTGCATTAAAATGAAATCAGTTGCTAATATTCGTCCATTGAATCAGCCTTCATACAAAATTTGTATAGCATACGAGTGCCATCAAATTCGTCATTAGGCGGTCAATATTTTTGTATTGGGTGGGTCGTTTATCTTGGGACACAGAAGTTAAATACACAGGTTAACTGGGGTATTACAAACCTTTAATTTATTTTAATTTAGTTTCATTTTTCGTGGGCGAGTCTCAACTTTCTTATTTTAAATGGAACACCTGGTATTCTATTTCATTTTTGAATACCATACAAAATTTTAGACAATTTTTTTTTGGTAATGTACGATCAATAAACAATTAATAGCTTACAAGCTTACAATAATCATTGTAACAGTTGTTCAATACAAGTAGTATAAAAGGTTTTTAAATACAGAAGGGCATTTCTAACAGCTTCAGTCCCATTTAAATATCCGATACCTTCTCTTATGCGAGATTTAAGTTTCTCGGCAGTTGACGGATTGTGTTTATAAACTAAGCCTTTAAGTGCATAGAAAAAAATCTAGGTTAGTGAAGTCGTTGTACCTTGGAGACCAGGCGTAACTGCCATTCTCCCCCAATCCATTCTCTACAGATAGATGCTAATTTCTTGAATTTTGTGATAAGGAGCGCCATCCTACAAGGCATGGATAATATTTGAAAGCTCTCAGTTGGGAATTTACATTATGACCAAAAAATACTAGACCTATTATTTTGAACCTCCAAATGTTCCACCTGAACTTGTAACTTCCAACAGTAATTGGTATTTTTCTGATTAAAAATGTATTTTTTTTCTTCAAAGTTCCATATATCCTAAAGAAATTTTCTATTATAATCTGTAAGAGCTAGGGTCCGGTTTTATTGTTCGATATATAATTTTCTAACATATCAATCTTTTCCTCTGTGGTATACATAATACATAATAATAATTTTTTGGTACATTTTCGCAAAATAACACCAATACATTCACTGACATGACCATTAGAATTGACAAACGTCAAAATTCAAAGCGTGGGAAATATCTTCGAAAATATCCGATTGCTCCCATACCCGTGCGGTAAAATCCCGGAAATGTCCGAAGTGGCTCGGATTCGTGGAAAACGCAATCGACGCGGTAAAGTGACACTTCCCCACGCTAGATCGGTGTGTAATTAAGAAAAAAGCATATTATTTGTGATAGACAAATGTTTAAAAGGAAATATTTGAAAAAGTAAAAATATTAGGCATACACAACTTAATATAAAATTGCCCTAATTTTTGATGCTAAATATGGCAAGATTATAAAAATAGGTAATTTCCATTAAAAAAAAGTTTTTTTGGCATTTTTTTTAAATTTTATTTTTAAAACTATTTTTCGCGTACCCTGTATTATTATATATCGAAATTTCTTATGAAATCCGTTATTCGAGTCCTTTATCTACAACAAAACTTACTCAAGTTAG